GGGGCGGAGATGAATAGATGTGGCAGAGGGGAGGAGAGCAGTGGAAATCTATGGGCCGGTCCTTGGGACAGAAGAGACACTGCTGCTAGCAAAGCCCCACTCTAGCTCTGGGGATTAAAGGCAGGGGGCGGAGATGAATAGATGTGGCAGAGGAGAGCAGTGGGAATCTATGGGCCGGTCCTTGGGACGGAAAAGCCACTGCTGCTAGCAAAGCCCCACTCTAGCTCTGGGGATTAAAGGCAGGGGGCGGAGATGAATAGATGTGGCAGAGGAGAGGAGAGCAGTGGGAATCTATGGGCCGGTCCTTGGGACGGAAAAGCCACTGCTGCTAGCAAAGCCCCACTCTAGCTCTGGGGATAAAAAGCAGGGGGCGGAGATGAATAGATGTGGCAGAGGAGAGGAGAGCAGTGGGAATCTATGGGCCGGTCCTTGGGACAGAAGAGCCACCACTGCTAGCGAAGCCCCACTCTAGCTCTGGGGATAAAAAGCAGGGGGCGGAGATGAATAGATGTGGCAGACAACTATTCATCTCCCTGCCGGACAAACTTGTTAGCCTGTGGGATAAACTTTTTGCTGCGGCTGCCGGCATTCATAATAAAGGAATATTTGGAGTTCACAAATCAGATGGATTGTCGTGTTTGGGGAGCTGGGTCAGAACGCAGGATCTAACATGAACTTGTGACACTGGTTTTGAACCTCCAGGTACCATCAGCAACTGGACCAATGAGGACCGCATTCCCCCTTGTACCATATTCCAGGCATTCAAATATTACCTGGACATCACCACCCCTCCCACACCCATTCTACTGCAACAGTTTGCCTTACTGGCCACCGACGAGAAGGAGAAGAAGCGCCTACAGGTTCTTAGCATGGTAAGAAAGTGGGGAAGAAGGTGCGCGATTAGCTCCCTCTCTTCCACAATGGCCAGAGCATCTGGGCAGGGATGGGCTTCAAAAATGGCCGCACCGGGTTCGCTGCTCTGTTGTTGGGTGGGCGTGGCCATGGTGGGTGTGGCCTAGTCGGCCTCCTGCCCCACGGCGGGGTGCGTGGGTGTGTTTTTCGCCCTCCCCAGGCTCCTTAGGCTTTCCTCGAGCCTCCGGGAAGGTGAAAACTTCTGCCCCCACGCATGACCTTGGGACACAGCAACGGTCATAAGTATGAATCAGTTGCCAAACATCTGAATTTTGATTGTGTGACCATGGGAGATGCAACAATTGACCTGGTGCGGCATTTGTAGCGTGTGAAAGATGGCCGTGAGTCACTTTTTTTCAAGTGCCGTTGTAGCTTTGAATCGTCACTAAATGAACTTCGTAAGTCGAGGACTATCCTAGTTCTTTCTGTTCACCCATTTTCTATATAACAACTTCGATTTTTAAAATAATAATACCGTGTTTCCCCAAAAATAAGACAGGGTCTTATTTTCTTTTGACTCCCGAAATAAGCATTTGGCCTTATTTTCGGGGAGGTCTTATTATTTTTGAGGTTCAGGAGGCGGCGAGTGGGGTCACCTCAGGGCTGCTGCTGTGTTGCAATTTTTTCAGGGAGCGCTTATTTTAGTGCATGCGCTCAAAAGCCCGATGGGGCTTATTATCTGGGGAGGTCTTATTTTCAGGGAAACAGGGTAGCATGGGTATAAATTTTGTTTTTCATGTTAAACTACGCACTAATAAGTATTTTGGGAAGCATTCAGAAGTGCCCAGTGTAATTTTAAGCCATATTATCATTAATTATACATAATTATGCCATCTTGTCTGACCAGACTTAAGCTGAGTAGACACTTTGTAAAAAAAATGTTATTCCATCTCATCCATCATCCCTCCTGCGACAATTTATCTTCGCCCAGTTTGGTGAGTGGGAGGAATCCATTTTCTAAGTTTACAGTGACGTCTTGATTGAATGGACTAATTATTATGAGAACGGGTGACATTTACGAATGCCCATAAATTAGAATGTTGCCTGGCTTGGTATGTATGTCATTCGTGTGATGACATCATCGCGCGAATGATGTCATTTGCAAAACGACCGTTATGCAAATGGATGGATTTGTGTAAAGTACTTCCATGGACGTGAGTGAAACGTGCTTTGACACTATTATGAAATCGGCATTCTTTGCGTCAAAAAGTCACAATGCAAATCTCAGCAGAAATGTTTTATTGTATTCAAGTGTAATAATAGTAATAGCACTTAGAAAACAGCAACAGAAAATAGAAAACAACACCACTAGCAATAGCAACAGCGATAGCACTTAGATTTATATACCACTTTACAGTGCTTTACAGCCCTCTCTAAGCGGTTTACAAAGTCAGCCTCTTGCAAATCGCAATGATCTAGCTCCTCCTTTTATCCACCTCCAAAGGATGGAAGGCTGAGTCAACTATGAGGTGGTCAGGATCGAACTCCTGGCAGTGGGCAGAGTTAATCTGCACTACTGCTTCAGAGTGCTTTTACAGCCCTCTCTAAGCAGTTTACAAAGTCAGCCTCTTGCCCCCAACAAGCTGGGTCCTCGTTTTACCCATCTCAGAAGGACAGAAGGCTGAGTCAATCTTGAGCCAGGTCAGGATCAAACTGCTAGCTGTGGGCAGAGTCAGCCTGCAATACTGCATTCTAACCACTGTGAAGGGAGGGAGGAAGAGCAATAGTGATAATAGACTTATATACCACTTCACAGTGCTTTGCAGTCCTCTCTAAGTGGTTTACAGAGTCAGCCTCTTGACCCTCAACGATCTGGGTCCTCATTTTACCCACCTCCAAAGGATGGAAGGCTGAGTCAACCTTGAGCCTGGTCCAGAGGTGAGTTGCTATTGGTTTGCAATGGTTCAGGCGAACCAGTAGCAGAAATTGCAACTGGGTCACTGAACTGATAGGGACAGCAGGCTGGCCACACTCCTGAACCGGTTCCCTGGTCGCCCATGCCATTGTTGGCATGTTTTTTAGACCTTTTTTAATGTTCTGAGCATGCACAGAAGAATTTATAGGCCACACCAGCAGCAACCCACCCCCTGGCCTGATCAGATTTGAACTGCCAAATTGCAGACAGCCAACAGAAAGCAGAAGTAGCCTGCGGTACCCCACACTAACCACTGGGCCACCATAGCTCACGTACATTGTGGTTTCACTTCCATCAAACTCAAAACTGACCAAACACCCAGTGTGCTCCTATTTCATCCTTAAGAATTTTGTGCACACCCAGAAACAGATGATAGGATATATTGTACAGGGCTGCTGGAAAGTATCTAGCATGGGGACCAAAATGACACACGTGGAGCAGATACACAAGATCTTTTTCTCACCGGCCCAAAGGTGTGGTACGCACATAATATTCCTCATTGACCTGCCCAAGTTGTGTTAGCGATTGTTGTAATTAAGCCATCTCCCCAGATGGAAGGATCAACAACAAAATCGTTCATTCATCCTTTCGACAGTTCAGTGCTGAAACAGTGCTGAACAAGGGGGTGTGTCCCTTGTTCTTTGAAAACTCACATTTCATATCTCGAATGCCAGTCTGTGTTGTGGGAATGGAGCCAAGATGTGTCTGTGCATGTGTGTGTGTGTGGCTGTAAAAGAGGATTAGGCAGATTCTTGGAGGATAAAGGAGGATAAAGCGTTTTTTCTTTCAGATGTAGCACTCCGGAGTTGTATTTGCATCTTGTCTACATCAGGACGTGCCTTGTGTTGATCCCTTTGGGAAGATCTTGTTCGGACTAGATAATCTGTCAGTCTGATCCATATAGCTTGGCTGTAAGGATTCAACTCAGCAAAGGAAGCTCCAGGTTTTTTGCCTGGAGCTAAATTCACTGCCTTTTCTTTCTTTCTTTCTTTCTTTCTTTCTTTCTTTCTTTCTTTCTTTCTTTCTTTCTTTCTTTCTTTCTTTCTTTCT